AGATATTTCTGTAAAAAGACAATTTCGTCCTTTTTCAAAATTTAAAAAAAATAATACTTGTAAATACATTTAACACATGTTCCAGTGTTATTGGAAACAAAAACTGCTATTTGTATTCTGGTTCTGATATATATGCTCTAGAATCTGTACAAGATATTTTATTCAGTAGTTAAGGCCCCGTGGCCCAAAGTACAACTGAAGATGCACAATTTCAACTATTGGTCACGTGACATGAAATTATGGTTTTACATGTGATTTCCGGATTGACATCAAATGTTTTATGAAAATGGCAACAGATTTGATGATATCCGCATTATTAGAATTAAGTACATTATATATGGTTTGTGGGGTATCATTAGAGCATTTTAACTACAGTAACTTCTTTCGGCAGGCAGAGAAGGCATAACAGACTAATAATAAATGGTGTTCGTCTTCAGTTTTACCAGAAGAACAATAAGAACATGATAAATCTTCCAATGTATTATTATCTTTTCTAAAACGTTGTATTTTTAAGGCATGTAGAGAGATTCTAAGTTTACAAAACTTTCTTAAAAGGGACTTATCATTAAGGACACTGATATATTTTTCAGGTCCGAACATCGTTAGAACAGATGGAGAATATCATGGTTTTGTATATCATGGTTTATGTCAACATGGTAAACAGTAATGCAAATCGGTAATAGTGAACAGGATTATGGAATGTGGATTGGTAGGCACATGGTAAGACACGTGTCATCTGGCACCCAAGGACACCTTGCCAAAACTAATTTAGAATAAGGTCAAACTCAAACTATACTGCTCGGCAAAACATCGAGGACACACCCATATTTGAAACTGGTTGCAAGTAAAACAAGCACTTCCTAGATGGTGTATTCAAATAGATGTTTTCGGCCCTTACGTTAATAGTGTTTGAACTACTCTTTCAGCTTAGTAACGTTTTGATACGTCAGAATATGTTTTAGTCAAATACCATTTTAAATTGAATCTTCTTAGTTTGCCTATTTACGAAGATCGTGGGACCCTATGTCCTAACTTACAGTCGTATCAAAGAATAACCTTTCCCCGTGTTTTACTCTGTAATAACTCCAGAGAGAAGTTCGTCTTCGATCCAAAGACAGTTCATTTTCTGAATGCGCACAGACCTTTAATCTATTGCTTCTACAAACCTTGTGTCCCGTGTTTTCGGTCAGTTTAATATATCGTGTTCATGAGCCTGACAAAGGAGATCCCATTCAGGAGAGTGTTCACATGACACCTGACTTTGTCGTGGGGTCATCTTGGCGATACTCCCTGCCCTTGATGAGCAAGATGGAAAACAACTACTGGCAACGTACATCCTAATCAGCAGTTTTATCACACTCTTGACACAGGGGTTAAGTAGCCGAAACCTAAGATCCTGCTTCTATTATGAGTCCTTGTGAGATCAACTGTATTGAATTCTATTGAGCTCCGTCCCTATTGAAAAGATTGAAAACAAATGACGACATTAGACAAATATTAGAATCCCTCACAGCTAAGGGAGATAACTCTTTGTTGACTCATCAGGGCCTCTGCGGATTGCTCGTGAGTGTTCTTTATAAGGTTTTTTTGGCAGCAATGATATCATTTGTCAGGAAACTATTGCTTGTCGTAATTACACGTTCTTGGACATCGTAAATATTATTTTTCGTCTGTGACCAAACGCGTAAGATCCATCATTCACTGACGAAGAGAAAGACACTTAAACCGTTAATCCTTGAATTGACCAGTTATATTACTGCTGAGGGTAAGAGTGAATTTAGGTGAACATAAATAACTTGAAGTGTCCAATAGTTGTCAGAGTAATGTTTGCAAAATGACGATAACGAGGGAACTTGGGTCAAATTTTACATCCAAATCAACTTATTGTTTTAATTTTTTAGATCGCGAACCGCATACAAAACATAACAATGACATTGATATATATGGACCCTACCTAGTACAAAACAAATCTCTAAATCCCAGCATATTATTGTATTGGTCTTTCTAACTCTTGATGAATTGAGATCAAGTGAAATATGAATGAATTAATCAAGTGCATACAATAAGAAGGGGAAACAGGAACAAACGCACCTGCAATCTCTCTTTGTCAGTTGGGAATGCTAAATGACAGCACATAAAATATCACAGAAAATATGTGTCTAAATGAAAAATCCTTTGAACAAATCCATCGGTTGACGTAGCTGCCGGGTCAGCCCAACCCGGGTAATGACAAGATGCGCCCTATTATTACACCAAGCTTGTATTTAACGAGCCATGCAAATCCCCGAGTACGTTCCAGTGTAGCAGGGGATCTCTCAACATTTGTATTAGGGGTTTAACATGTTCGGAGTTATTATTAAACGACATCGGTATTGGATTTAGCGGAGAGAAAAAACATTCAAAGCTGGGATCACCTAATTGGATTCGAAAACACACCTGAGTTTCTGTGATTCCCGGTCACTCGGTTGAGTTCTTCAAGGAGCGCACCTAACCAGGGCCTACTTCAATATTTGGCATGTTAAAAGCGTAATAGAGTCGAAGGATTCAGAGCTGAGTCTTAAGGAAATTTATCCGATCGACACCAAATTGATGCTAGTTTGGAAACTAACAAGTACAATCAATGGGCTGCCGAGGATGACGTGGACAACGGCAATGCCAAACCTGGATCCTGATGGCTGCTTGGGGATTGATGGAGATTTTGGAGGAAGAGAATGTTTTAGGGCGATTCATGTCTTGTCATAGAGCTCCGTCCACCTCCTTAATGTAACACACTGGAAGATCGGAGTTTAATTCAGATAGAGTGGCTGATGTTATTCAGTAGGATTAAACAGGAGTTTGAAAGCCAACAAATGGCTTTTTTCGAAGAAAGAGCAGATTCAATCATTGTCCAATTCCATTTCTGTCCTTAATTGAATTTGACAAGTCACTAAAGCATCAAATAAGCTTAGGTCCTCTGGGAGAAAAGATGAACCCTTTAGCTGCGATTAAATCGTCTTTTAAAATGAACTCTATTCACCACCACCGCACTACTTTCGTCGAAACCAAACATTCAGAGGGGACGGGATAGAGGGGAAAGATGTCGTCTGCTTTCCGATCGATTTTGATCGCGTGCCCTCGCCTGATTACAGTTCGTGGCCATCATATCGTGCAAAAAGCTTAGCTGCTAATCGATGGGGTGTATAAAACTATTATGGTCCGAGGCAAAAAATGTCCAGATACGTGTTCGTAACCCCTCAACCAATCAGCAATAATGACCGATCCCTGACCGCCATCTTGGTTTTTGGAACATCCATCTTTAAATCCGGGGCTCGTGAAATACCATCTGGGAATCTTCATTTCACAATTAATCAAATTTGGACCATATTCAAAGAAGCCTTTTATTCAAAGTGATAGACAATGCTTCAAGAACTCTGCCCTCAACAACATCTTTTGACGCTTAAGAAGGAGTCTTTTTGATGCCCAATTAGATTCCATTGGGTCGACAACCTTCGCGTCATTGCACGTGCATGCGACGAGCGGGGTCACGCAACGACATCACAGGTCTTGATTATGAATCACTATCCCCGGCATACCACCATAAACCCGCCTTTAGTGATCGGTCCAGGTTTGGGGCATGACGTATGATCAAAGAGAGCCGACTTTGGTCCAGAGCGAGCAATGAAATACCATCATGTTGTCTTACCAACGTAAATCAGATGTGATTTGGCAAATCTCTAATGGTAATCTATAGGCCCGCTACAAGCATGGCCCCTTATATTCCCGGAGACACCAACCGTTAAGGCAGTAATGTATAAGGGATTCCTGGCTAATGGCTCTAGCAGTGTTCTGGTCGGCATCAGTAAGACGAGGCATTTTTGGCGACAAAAAAAAAACAATTTTTTCTTATGTCACTTCAAAGTTGCGCTTCCGTAATATTGAAATAAATGTTTGCTTGCACGACAAATCGCCATAACCCATCGTGGATTATTTTACTCGGGATCACAGAGTCCGCACTACGGCTGGTTAATTACAGAAACACCTTGAATAATTGCATTATCCTTAACTTAAAGCACAGAACAGCAGTGTTTAAAGATGGAGTAAGCCTGCTCCGTGTCTTTTAAACATTCCATTTGAATACGAAATGTGATTTGGGCGACAATTCTTGTCAAAAACGAATTTAAGAGTCCAACAAGTTATCTTTGATATCCAATAGTAATCTTAATCTTGTCAAGTTCAAAGGACTTGAACCAATGTAATTCAAACCTGTTTGGACATTCATAGGCTCTTGCAGGGATACAAAGACTCTAATCTGCAGAAGATGACTCTGTTTGTTAGGAGAACTCGTTACAGCACCAGATGTAGGCGTGGGCCACATTTGAACGTCGTCAAATGAGGGCATTTTGCCAAATTGGGGATTTGAGCAATGGGACATTGTTGACTTGAAAAGCCTACGTTGATTGATTTCAAGATTTTAAAGCAACATGGAAAAGAGCCTATGCGCTTAATCTCAATTACTCTCGACAAGATGTGCGAATAACGTATTACTGAACTCGCAGTTTCGTCTATGAATTATGGGATAATCCGAGGGTTATCGAGTGTATTAACTTTCCTGAGATTCCTGAATCGCAGGCGTCATTTCTGAATACAGTTCTGAACTAATCACATTTTTAGAATAGTCTCTCCTTAAATACCTCTGCCAAGATGGAAATGTATACCTGGAACAGTATTATATAGTTATCCTGAAACCATACACAACAGGATTGTATAATGATATTTTACATTGCAAATGTCAACCGAAAAAGTAAAAGAAATACATTTTCAACATGGCTGATGTGTCCGCCATGTTGGAATCCAAATTGAATGTACTCTTACCGCAGCGTGCATTCTTACCGCACAGTGGTTCTCACCAAAGTGATCAACATCTATGGCGTGTGTCATTTTAGGGTTTCGCTGTATTAACCAGACTTTGAAAGACTTGGAATACTGGCTACAGCAGAGGCAGCTCCATGATATCCACTTACCCGCGTTGACGCTGACGTTCCGACTCGTGATGGTTCCGGCGGCGTTGGACGCCAAACACCGGTAGATCTGGGCATGGACGCTGGCAATCAGGCGGGAGTCGTCGAAGGCATGGAAGACTAGAGTATTGTTTGGTAGCACCGTCAGCAGTCTATCAACATCATCGACAGGGGTCCCGTCTCCGAGCACCCACTCCAGTACGGGAGCAGGACGTCCATAGGCCGTGCAAGGGATCTTCGTCCCCTTCGTGTTGGCGAAGTCCACGTTGGTGGGCGGCTCCGAGATGAAGACGAGGTCGGGTGATCGATCAAATGGATGTTCCGTTGTCTCACCTACAAAAGATAAATACATTGTTAACACACATTGGAATCTGGATACCTCGAAACCATTACTATTCTCGAGAAATGTTTCACATTAAATATGACAAACCATCTGTGAATGTCCGGAGCATTCAAACAATCTTAGCAAAGAACACAGTTCCATTCTTTGCCTTTTTTCGAGCAGTAATATAGGGATGGGAACTAGAGATGGGTTTCAGGCGTTTTATCCATGTTGGCAATGGAACCCGAATCTTCGGTGTGACGAGCGGACGCTTTAACCGCCTGGCTATCCAACGCCCGTATTGTCTTGACTGATTCCCTCCCTTTGAATCCTTCATCTTTACGTTCATGGCGCTCAAGAGTGTCAATTACTGCCATGTCCAAGTGGTAATAATGTGATGATGGATTCTTTGAAGGACATGTGACCATTGAGATGATGTCCATCCAGTCTGGCAGAGACATAACACCATTGTATCTAAGACATGATCACATCCCTACTCAGAGAACCCGTGTCCAGGTAAATGTTCTTATACATAACGTGAATATCGCTCGTATTTAGATTAGATGTTCCTTGTGATTCTAGAAGGTAATTGTACCTACTCACAAGGTAAACAATTATATCAATCAAATATATTTTCAATTATATGGATAATATTAAATTCCCCATCAGTTTTACCAGCCCGAAGAAAGCTGCATTTATACAAAACAATAACATCTCTCGGTGAGGACTGTTAGTGTCAAACCTTGTTACGAACAACTCAACATTGATATGCAAAAGATGATCACGCGAGCAATAAATGCAATCCGCTGGAACACAGAGTCACTGAAGACAGTCCTTCCTTTCATGAAAATGCCTTCAAATAGACATACGATAAAACCATTTGACATTAGAAGGTTGGATATATGGTTATGTTATGTGTCTTGTTGTGTTCATGGGACGAATTATACTACTCAAAAAAGTGTGCCCGGGACAAATGACGACATCCCCGTTTACTGTATCTCCCGCACCTCCCCTATTTCCCTATACAACCCAGTCAACTCCCAGCATCTCACATAATGCGCACTGCAACGCACGTGCATGCACCATTTCGTCGGAGAATCTCATTCGTGTAGCCATCATCCGCGAAGAGCCCCTTTAAGATGCTCGCCAAATTACTCAATACGCTCGTAATGTATTAGCGTGTGAAAGGTGGAACCCAATGCAATATCTATTCTGGATTCTTCCTGTTGGTCTCAGGAAAACTGTATTACAGTAATCTCCACCATGCCTTCAGTACATTGCGTTACTGGGTGTCGTTAGTGGGCAGTCCCCGGCCACATCGGTGGCCTAATTATAACCGTGAGATCTGTTTTCAGGGATATAATTGAACAATGCGGGTCGAGCGACGAAACCCTGCATGACTCCTTGCTACCTCCTTAATACATACATACCTTTAGACTTGGGTATATAGATAGGTTTTACGTAAGAATTTAAGAACCTATTTATGAAAAGATGTAAAATTGCATATTTGTTTATGATCTGATAGCAAATCTCTCTTTACATCCCATGCTGTTGTCTTCACTGCGCTGTTGTAGAAATATTGATAAAATGTAAAACTCAATCACTGACCTATATTTGAAAAAGACCCGGAGAGGTGTTCAGAGTTCTAACACTTAAACTCAAATAACGTTGAATCATCTTTGCCAGATGTACATAGAGACTTGGGTTTACAATCGTTGGAACGTAAAAACTGAATCTTTGAAAATTGCTACGATTAAGAAGAATTGGTACTGGTTTTAAATAATCACAACAAAACGCATCATGCCCAGCCGCAGAGAGACACATCCTGACAGTCTCTATCGGATAAAATAGGAATAAAACACTGCCAGATATTCCTGATGCTCGGCCCTAAACGTGAAAAGAAAACTGTTACACTAATAATGTTGTCGTTTATTCCTCCTTACAAAATGGATTGCCAATTAAATAATTCCCGAAGCTTTGAAACAAGTATTGATGAAGCCATGTGAAAATACGTCAAAGAATCTCTTCGGAGACCTAAAATGGGTCAATTCCTCAAGTCATCTCTTTCAGCGTCCTCGCATCAATTTCACGGTTCAAAAGCTGCGTGTCACAAGGGGGCAACACCGAGCTCTGACACTAACAAATATCAACGAGTTTGCGTGTGAAGCAATGTTTTCTCTTAACTGAAACCTTTGCAACAATTAATCTTTTCAGGTTCATTAAACTGGCTAAGATCAAATGCCGTTTAACCTCTAGCGAGCAATGGAAACCTTGTCCAATTATATTGCGGGGTATTCCCTGCGCTTGTTTCAAACAACCTAATAAGAAATCCTGATTCATTAAAGACGCTGGATCGAGCTTTTACAATTGCTATTTTCTTCAGTTATTGTCTGTAGAGCTAATTACAACACGCTTTGTATTATTTTCTCATTCTAGACTTATTTCCTACATCATTACAGGAGCAATTGTCATAATCCGCGTGGACGGATCTCTGAAACCTATATTGGCTCATACATGTTTAGGGCCCGTGTGTTATAAAACTTAGAACATGCAAGGGATCCATAAAAACAAATGGTTGATTTGATCTAAAACACATTGATCAATCTTAGCTAGACACGTAATTATCTCGCCTTACCATTGAATGCTTATTCAGGGCCTGTGTGTCATAATGCACGACTGGTCTGAGCATTCCACATATACTCTCATGTGAAACAAAATAACCGCTCACACCTTCTGTAGCAACTCTATCAGTCGTCCTTCTCTCGGTGACCACATTTGTGTTGTGTATTCTTCCTGTATAATTGTATGCCAGGCTCTGAGTAGCTATACCACACCTGTGCTTTAAAGACACTGTATACTTGTACTTCGATTTACGGTCCGTGCAGAAGGGTGCGATGCCGGACACGCGTAATACAATACACATAAAAAAATCTGTAACTGTCTAAGCCTTGTACATGGCAATTTGTATCTCGTTTAAAAAAAATATAAAAGAAATGAATGAATACTGACCAACCAAATTAGAAAACTGAACTACATGACACGACATTTTTATATATAACAGTAAACATTAGTTGTCTACCCGAACCAATTCCCAGCACCATGATTGCTTCACCCCTACATCCACCCGGCTCATGGAATGAGAAATGTTCCTCTACACATCGTCCGCTGGCCTAAGCAACCGAGATTCAACATCCCCGCCATGCCACTGTAAATTATTTTAATTTGCAGAGTCATTTTCCTATCTTCCGTTTCATTTAATCATTCAACTTTGAAAACATCTTTTACCATTTTCCCGGAAATTGGGCCCCTGAACCGCCTTATCCCCCCTTAAATATTTGTATGATGTTGAAATCTTAGCCCGTTTTTACAAAATTACAATACTGGGCAATTTCGTCTTTTAACAATCACATTAGCGCTGTGCCGTTGTCGGGACAGTTTAGTTTTCCGATTAAGGTTAGCATGGTATGAAGAGTAAATTACCTTCGATTAAACAGATAAAAGAGCTCGTATTAGACCGGGTTTATTTTACAATCAAACAAAAGGGGCCGCTCATGAAAGATCGGAAATCTGTCTGGCAGTTCGATTTCGGGTTTCATGGGAATAACGTGAAATAAAGACGTGCTTTCATCTGAATTCTCTATTAATCGTCGTATTACTTTTGAAACATTATCAAAGAAAGTTTCAAGTTCCGAACAGACGCTAATTGAAAAAAAAATAATTACAATTTCACAACGTTTCAACAATTGCAAGTATACATCAAGTACTCAGAAGACGTTGTAGTAGTAGATGAATGCCGTCAACCGCCGCAGTAGCAACAAATGTAGCCGTAGTGGCAGTAGTATAGTAACAGTGCTGGCCTACCATTCAAAGTCGTAAAAGTAGTTAGAGCAAAATAGAATTTTGAAGTAGCTTGAAAACAGTAAACATTAAAGAGGTTGCAACAATAGCAGGAATAGAAGTAGTTGAAGTAAAGGAAAGTAGTAGCAGTAGTAGTAGTAGTTGTTGTAGTAGTAATAGCGGTTGTAGAAGTAGTAGTAGTAGTGGTAGTAGTATTAAACGTAAATAAAGTAGTAGTAGTAGTAGTAGTAGTAGTAGTAGCAGCAGCAGTAGTAGTAGTAGTAGCAGCAGCAGCAGCAGCAGTAGTAGTAGTAGTAGTACTAGTAGCAGCAGCAGCAGTAGAAGTAGTAGTAGCAGCAGCAGTAGTAGAGCAGCAGTGGTATAGGCAGCAGCAGTAGAAGTAGTAGTAGTAGTAGTAGTGGTAGTAGTAGTAGTAGCAGCAGCAGCAGCAAACCCGTCTTTATGTGCACTTCATATGTAACACAACAAACAGCAGTCACCAACTTACAGTCATCACAGTTTCGGCACTACTTCCACCCTTAAAGGCTAAACTCCCATAACGGGAGCTCCGACCTGCTTTCATCGCCGTAGGTTAAACAGTCCGTCCTGCTTTCATCGCCGTAGGTTACACAGTCCGCCGTAGGTTAAACAGTCCGTCCTGCTTTCATCGCCGTAGGTTAAACAGTCCGCCGTAGGTTAAACAGTCCGTCCTGCTTTCATCGACGTAGGTTACACAGTCCGTTCTGCTTTCATCGACGTAGGTTACACAGTCCGTCCTGCTTTCATCGACGTAGGTTAAACAGTCCGTTCTGCTTTCATCGACGTAGGTTACACAGTCCGTTCTGCTTTCATCGCCGTAGGTTACACAGTCCGACCTGCTTTCATCACAGTAGGTTACATTGAGTACGTGAGACCCGAGCTGCTTTCATCACTGCACGCCTCTAGATCCATCAAGTTTCGTTGCTCCCAATTCCAACCGACTGATCTGATACTCATATCTGCAAGTATCGCATTACTCGTGTGTGCAGTTGAATTGAAATCCGTGAAACTGAGTCCAAGCAGCATTTAGGTCTCATTGAAACAGTTGTACTGACATTTGAAATAGAAGGAGATATATTTACGTGATATACAAGGTGCTAGAGTCGGAGTAATGATTGAGGATGTGCAATAATAT